CCCTGCCCGAGCGCCAGCGGCTGGAGCCGACGGCGTGGGCTCAGTGCCAGGCTCTGCCAGCTCCACGTGGCTGCTTGGAGTGGGGAGAGAGGGAGCAGCAGCAGATCCTTCCTGGGACGTGCAGCTTCCCAGCCCTGCTGCGTCCACTCTCGTGCTCTGTTTTTAATTTGAGGCAGTAAATGAGCCCCTGCTCAGCGTCCTGTGCTGACACACACGGGTGCCTTGGCGTGCTGAGGGCGTCGTGGTCGCTGTGAGCAGAGAAAGTCACTTCACTCCACCCCAGGGGAACGCTCTGTGGCCACTCGGGCTGTCCCCAGCTGAGGGCTCGCTCGGGTGAGTCACTGCAGGGGTGGTGGGTGCACCCGAGAGCCAAGGGCTCGTTTCAGCCAGAAGGATTATTTCCAGGTGCCTCATAGGTATTGGAGTCCCTTGTTGGAGGTCACATTAATTGTCCCACCGGCCTGCACAGTCCCTGGGAAACCAGGAGATCTGTGAATGCAGAAAGGTTTAGAGGCTACAACTCGTACGAATACTGCAAGAGAACTTCAGCAGCTGAATCCACCAGAGGAGCCATTCCCCAAACACAGCCTCGTTCCCTCCGTAAGGCAGAACGGGCTCATTTCAGCTGAGCAGCCCCTCTGAGTCCCGTTTTCTCAGACTCTGGGGCCTGGTTCTTACTCCTGAGCCCACCTGTGAGGAGCTGCCCAGCCGTGGCACGCTCTGAGCCGGGGCCCTGTGGGCACCTTCCTTGGCAGAGGTCCTGGGGTGGCCCCAGTCTGTCGGGGGGATTCCTCCCCTGCAAACCCGCAGTCCGCAGTGCTCTGAGGTCGGTGTGATTGCCCCGGGGCTGCTCGTGTGCAGGGTGGGACCCAGCCTCCCTCTGAGCAGCTTCAGGGCCATTTATGGCCAGTGGGTTCCCAGGGTCTCTGCTGTGGCTGTAGCCTTGAGGCAGTTTTGTGCTGGAATTTTGGGGAGTGTGCTCACTCTGGTTTTGGGGAAAGACTGAGTGGCAGCGTGGCTGGCTGGCTCTGCCTTATCCCTACAGCCTCTGCTGTGTGTAGGGCACTCTGGCTCTTCAAAGCCCTCAAGTCGTGTTTATTTGCACTACTGTCCACACTCTGGGATTTATCCCAGCAAAGAGCAGGTCCCAGTAAGCACGTGGCACCATGGCCGTGCCCCAGGGAGCATGTGGCATTTGCTGCCAGTGCCTGGCTGCTTGGTTTCCTGATGGAAGATGCCCATTAAAGGCAGTCAGGCTGCACAGGGGACAGAGACCCACCCCCATCCATGACAAACGTTGTGCACACCCCTTCCTCCAGCCCCAAAGTGAGCCCCAGCAGGATCAGGGGCTGACACCTGGCTGTGTGAAGAGGGAGGAGCAGCAATCCCCAGCTCATCCCCCACCTTCTGCAGCACCCAGGGGTGCTGAAGCCACAGAGGCCCAGGTTAGCTGCTCCACTCCCACCCCAGGGCCTGCAGGGTCTGGTCCCCACGGTGTCAACAGCACCAAAGCCCCAGAACCAGCTCTCCCCAACCCTGCTGCCACGTGGGACCTGTGGCAGCTTGGCAGGAGACCAGCAAGGACCAACCGTGGCCTCCTTTGGCTGCTCCAGCCCTGAAGACTCCAACACCAGGCCCATGCCTCCTGTGCCAACACCAGAAGGAGCCACCAGCCTCCTGGAGTGACTGGCACATCCCACAGCACGGCTGCCGGGGGTCCCCTGCTGGGGCACCAGCCTCGTTCCTGGGTGAGAGGGGCTGAGAAACACTGGAAACAGGAAAAATCATAACAAGAGAAAAAATGACAGACTTTTTAATAAGGAAATCTGTGCAGTCGGGGACAGAGCCCTGCAGAGGGAGTGGAGCCCAGGCTGCACTAGTCCTCCAGCACCTCCAAGCCCAGGATCTTCCTGACGTAGTTGCGGACGTTGACGTGGAGCTGGGGGGCTGTAGCAGAGAAGGTCTCCATGGCCAGGGCCCGAGCTGACTCTGACCCGCCCCACATGGCCCGGTAGAGGGGCAGAGTGTACTTCTGCTTCCCCTGCAGAGACAGAGCAGGGGTCACACCCCGGCCTCCCCCCCAGCTGCAGTGGGGTGAAGCCCGGGAGCCCCACATCGACCCCCCTCCCAGGGCACAACGCTTCCAGCATCATCCTGCTCTTGGCCAGGGACAGAGCAGAGGAACGGGACAAGGTGGAAAATGCTGCTGTGGGCAGCCCTTGGCAGGGCAGCACCTGGAGCAGGTCGGTGTTGACCTTGAGGAACCTCTTGAAGTTCCACAAGGCCACGTCCAAGGTCCTGCACCTGGGTCAGGGCAATCCCCAATATCAACACAGGCTGGGGCATGGATGGATGGATTGGGAGCAACAGAGAAAGACCTGGGGGTGAGGAGCTGGACAGGAGCCCCCAGCTGCCTGGGCTGCCCCCCCAGCAGCGTGGGCAGCAGGGCAGGGAGGGGATCCTGCCCCTCTGCCCCCTCTGGGGAGATCCCCCTGCAGTGCTGGGGCAGCTCTGGAGTCCTCAGCACAGCAGAGCCAGGGACCTGCTGGAGCGGGGCCAGAGGAGCCCCAGCAATGCCCCGAGGGGGGAACCCCTCTGCTGGGAGCCCAGCAGGAGAGAGTTGGGCTGGGGCAGCTGAGAGGAGAAGGCTCCAGCTGGGGAGAGCTTTCCACATACAAGAGGAGTTTGTAAGACATAAGTGAGAAATGTTGTATGATGAGGTGGTGAGGCACTAGCACAGGTTGCTGAGGGGATCTGTGGAGGCTCCATCCCTGGGTGTGTTCAAGACCAGGCTGGATGGGGCTTTGAGCAGCCTGCTCTAGTGGAAGGTGTCCCTGCCCATGGCAGGGGGATTGGACGAGCTGCTGAAGGTCCCTTCCAAACCATGCTGTGGGTCTATCAAGAGCAAGCACCAATCCCTGGCCCTCTGGCATGGGAGGTCCTGTGCCCCAGGCCAGTCTCTGCCCCAATGGCACCCTGCAGGCACAGCCAGTGCTGCCCAGGGACAAACCTGGCACTGAAGGAAGTCCTTGACCTTGCTGTACTCAGCCTCGAGGTTGTTCTTCAGGACTATCTGGCACCAGCGCAGTCGCAGCTCAGCATTCTGGGCCTTGGAGATCTTGGGGTACATCTTGCTCATCCTCTCCACGTTGCCTGTGAGAGGAGGATCCTCACCATCCCCACGGGGGCTCTGCCTCCAGCTCCCAGCCCCTGCTCCTGTGGGACCCAGTGAGCCCATCCCCCCTGTGCTGCAAATCCTCTGGGATCCTTGTGGCCTTGGGCCAGCCCTGGACCCTCCCCGAGCCTCCTGGCACCCCCAGCTCCAGGAGCACCCCAGGCACTCACTGACTCTGGGCAGGAGGGTGCCCGTGTTGGGCCTCCTGGGGCCAGGCAGCCCTGCAGAGCCACACGTCTGGTGGCTTCGGATGCCAGCATGAAGGGTGGGGAGGTCCCTCAGCAAAGTGCAGGGAGAGGCGAGGTGACACGGGGAGGTGACAGCCCAGCTGAGGCAGCCAAGGAACAGCAGATGTCACATGTCCCCATACACCTAGGGACACACCTCCCCTGGCTCTCCAGCCCCCACCACACTGATCAAGGCTTCCCAGACACCAGGACACTGCTGGGCTGCAGTGGGGACAGGCTGATGGCCACGCACCCACATGTCCCCGAGGTGTCCCTGGCCAACTGGCTGGGCTGGGGCACATCCCCCTGTGTCTCCTCTGGGCAGCGGGGCCCTGGGAGGTGACCCGGCCCTCACCTCCTGGCAGAGGGGATTTCTGCAGGACCTGATCCAAGAAGTAGACCAGCTGGTACGTCCTCCAGGCCGTGATGTCCACAGCTTCGATTGCCTCCACGTTCAGGCCATCAGCTGCCCAGAGCTCTGCCAGCTCATCTGCTGGCTGCATCAGCTGCTGCCCCGGGGACAGGTCGGGCAGGAAGGGCGGCCAGCCCGGCACGTTCAGCCAGCGGTCGAACTCGAAGCCTGCAGAGAGGGAGGGAAGGAGCTGGGGCTGGTGCTCTGAGCACCACACTGGGTGCTGCTGCCCAGGCACCCCATTGCTTCTCTGAGGGCGTCCCCAGCACCAGCCAAGCTGGCCAGGGATGGTGACAAGCAGCGACTAACAGGGCGAGGCTGTTAAGCCGCCCTGGACTCGGTGTGTGCGCTGAGCTGGACACAGTGTGGGAAGGGTCCGTGCCAAGCCCAGCTCCCTGCAGCAGGGCTGGGCCAAGCCTGGGGCACTTCCTGAGCCTTAGCCTGAGCCTGAGCCTGAGCCTGAGCCCCACCCCAGCGCTCGCCAGCAGCTCCACCAGCACTCACATCCTGGGGCTACACACCCACCAGGCTCAGTGCCCATGGGGAGCCCCACGAACCAGCACCAGAGCACAGAGCACGACCTCGATTGGCATGGGAACCAGTCAGGCTGAGTGGGCAGGTGCCCCCACAGCCGGGTGCCTCCTCCAGCCGAGCTGGGGCCGGTGGCAGCAGCCTCTGGTGGGACGCACAGCACGACGTGTGTGGGGCCGTGGGGACACGGGATGGCTCCAGCACCCGCGGGGCTCTGCTCTGCAAAGGGGCACCTGGTCCCCTGCCCAGGGGAGGCCGTGCTGACCTGGGATGGAGTCCACGCCCTTCTCCTTCAGCTCTGGGAAATACTCCAGGAAGAAACCGAGGGTGTCGTCCGCCGTGATGCTCTGGAACTTGAACCGGTTCACGTAGGCCTGCGGGCACAGCCGGGGTGTGATGCCACCTGCTCACCCCTGGCACTGCTGCCCAGCCCACACTCCATATCATGGGGGTTTAGTGCTGCTGAGCCCCCCCATGCTGGTCCCCATTCCCCCTGGGCTTGCCCCACCCCCCCCCTCCCAGCG